TCTTTATTCACATAGAATTTTCTGTTAATAATGAGATAACAAAAATAAGGACAGAGCAATGAAAAAAAAAAAGTAACAAGATAGGAATATCCTTTCAATTTCTAAGGAACTTCCCTTCCCTTCCCTTCCCTTCCCTTCCCTTCCCTTCCCTTCCCTTCCCTTCCCTTCCCTCCCTTCCCTTCCCTTCCCTTCCCTCCCTTCCCTTCCCTTCCTTCCCTTCCCTTCCCTTCCCTTCCCTTCCCTTCCCTTCCCTTCCCTTCCCTTCCCCTTCCCTTCCCCTCCCTTCCTTCCCTTCCCTTCCCTTCCCTTCCCTTCCCTTCCCTTCCCTTCCCTTCCCTTCCCTTCCCTTCCCTTCCCTTTCCCTTCCCTTCCCTTCCCTTCCCTTCCCTTCCCTTCCCTTCCCTTCCCTTCCCTTCCCTTCCCTTCCCTTCCCTTCCCTTCCCTTCCCTTCCCTTCCCTTCCCTTCCCTTCCTTCCCTTTAGGATGTGACAGAATTCTCAGACTTCTCCTGTACATACTTTTGCCCTCCTAAGAAAGCTGCAATTCATAAAATGTAGTATGACTCCAGAAATTGTTAGGACAACTAGCAGATGTCATAAAATCTTGAGAGTCACTGGATTCATGACAATTCAAGTAGCTGATAGGGAAAGATTTTCCTGCCTAAGGAGAAAATGGTATAGGGATTGTGTGACATGATGTCCAGCATGTTGGTTGGCAGTTCCACTTCAAAGGAACAAGGCTTGAATCAAATAAAGCAAAGACCCATTTGATTCTTAAATGAACTGACAAAAATTTGTCTTGCCTTGAAGATCATCTTAACAGTATTCCTAATTTTTTTTTAATATACTGCATTCATACCACTTTCATGTTACTTTTATGAAACACAAGAGATAAACTTGTTTTATTGCTCTTCAGAAGTACTTTTGTGTCCAATTAATTTGGTACCACACTTTGCTTTAATTAGCCTGGAAATCCGCATCATAGTTAATTACACTGTACACCATTCAAGAGCCTGGAAATAATTAAACATGTTTTCATTACTCAATTGGCCTGGAAAAAGTATATACATTTCAAGCACTAGTCCTGAAATGCTCTTTCAGATTCTGGCAGTCTCTTACAACAAAACTTTCAAAAAAGCCTGAGTATGTTGCTGGAAATACACAGCAACAGTCAGAACAATGAGCCATATGATGTAATGTAAAATTTACTCTTTCCTTAACAGAACCATATATCCCTGTGGAACATCAAAGAAAGAAAAAACCCAAGAGACTGTGTGAAAAATATAAATTTAATAGCTATGATGTATACTTAGCATAAACAATAGTCTATAAGCAGTGAAGTTAATTGAAACGATAAATACAGAAAGCTTTGAAAATCAAACCAGCAATTTTTTTTTTCAGATTTGTAATTAAGTAATTAAAGTAATTAATTTGTAATTAAGATAAATAATTAAAATGCAACAGTTTTACTACAAAATAGTTCACTGTGATATCTGAACAGGAGATTATCTTTGTTAAACAACTTCATTTTTGATAGTCCTGCCCTAAATGTCCTCTGACTCAGTTGGAGTTTTATTTTACCATGGGCCTGTGTCTGCAAAGGATTTAGGTGAGTAAACAATGGGTGCACAGGTTCCTTTGCAGGGAGCATTCAGGCAGCCACAGCCCCCCCAGCAGCACACTAAAAGGTAATCATGGGGGCTGGAGCCACTCAGTGTTCCCCAGCGCAGCAATCACTGGATAATAATTAGCCAAGAGGGAGACTCTGTGGTCAGGAACATGCCAGAAATGTCACTCGCACCTATGTCCCAGTGGCATGTACCTGCCATATCTCACCTACAGCCCTGAGCATCCTCCTGGAGGGAAAAGCAGTTTGCTGCTTTCTCTGAATCACAGAAAGGATAAGGTTGGGAGGGACCATGGTGGGATCATCTGGTCCAACCACACTTTCTTTACACTGAGCTGGGCAGATTTCAGGTTTTACTTCAAAAATAACCCACAGAACCAGGTCACCACTGTGGAAGTGTAAGCTTTTCAGACTGGACAGACAGTTCTGTCCTGAATTGCCCGAGGTGTATACCTACAACTTCCTCAGCTGGTCTGATCACCTCTACAGCAGGTGCACCAAGCATTGGACACTTTGAGAGAGCCTTTTGCAGAATTATCACTCTTTTACATGAAATCTGAATCAACCAATAAAGACCTTTTAGCAAATCAACCCTTAGAGCTGTGGAGGGGCTGGAAGTTCCATTTTGGAAAAAAAAAATTCAATGTATAACAAATCTTCCAGATTCCAAACCCTCCAGGAAGGTAAGTTTTAATAGGGCTGACATCAGGGAAGGAAAATTCCTGTGGTTGGTTAAACTTTTAAAGTGTTGTAATTTACAGAGTGTGGAAAATAACCCAAAATAGAAATTGAAAATGCAGGCAGTAAAATCAACAGCAAAACTTAATTGTTATAAAAATGGTAAAATGAGATTTTTTTAGCATTATGGTGGTATTTTTCCCCCTCAAATGAAATTTTGCAAATTACATTCCATATAAAAAAAAAATGCAGTTTTGGAAGAATCATTAATTTCACCCAAATATGATCCCCTCAAGGGATTTCTTAGCTCTTTCAAGAGAATAATTCTGAATAGACACAAAATTTACATTTAAGCCTGAATTTTTTCAGAGCATTTAGAAAGGTTATCAGGTGAAACAGAGAACTAGAAGAAAAGCTCTTTCTTCATAATGGATTTCAAGCTAGTTATAAAACCTATGCTCTGCAATAGTTTGGGAGACCAGGAGATATTCTTACTGTGAGCATCAGCAGGGAATAATTTGTTTCAGCTTGCCTTTACAAATGAAGCAAATCAGATACAAAATTTTTTGCTCATGGATTTGCAAATTTGAACTAAGCCATTCCTTTTTTGAAGCTATGACAAATGAAATCTGACCATCTTATAAAATATTTTTCTCTTTAAAAACATTACTTTTATGATCTGACTTTTTCTCATGACTTGACAGCTGTATTAAACAAAGAGAAATTTAAACCTGAAGCAAATATGCCTTCATTGTTGCAATTTAAACTTCAACCAGTAACAAATTCAAATGTCAACAAAGAAATGTATTCAACCTAAAACAATATCAAGATTAGAAGAGGCATTTTTTTCTGTTCATTATGTTAATTTAAATTTCTAAGCGTGATTGTTTCAAATTATTGTCTTACACAAATTAAACATATTTTTACTTAATTGAAGCCATTCATGAGCCACCAAACTCTTTTTTGAAATTATGCAGGGAGGAAAAAAGTTTTAAGTAAATTTTTGTTCCTATTTTACTGCAACAAGAGTGAAGCTGTGTAAAAGCCTCCTGAACCAAACCAAGCAAGTTTTGGTTAGTATGTAGTCCTGCCTCAAGGATGATACCTTTATCTGTGAATACTTTTGTTTATTTCTGCAGTTGAAATACACATCTGTGGTGAATAGGTACATAATACCCAGAATCTAACTGAAAAGCCCACTGAATTTGTTACCGTTCTTTTAATCGACCTCAAGGGTCAAGCAGTCTGATACCCTAACCTGTTGATATGCAACTATGTTTGCTTTCACATGCCCATTTATAGCTATGGGAACATGCCACAGATCGTGGAGAAGCTGCTTTCCTTTTAAATGGAATAAGTAACAGCTACATACAAACTCATTTATATGTACTGGATATATATCAGCTGCTATTTCCCTGCCCATTGATATATAGCAGAATTAATAGAAAAAATAGAGGTGATAGTATCATTGTAGATTTTCTATCTCAATTATGATGGTGTGATTTATGATAGCAAAACCATAAATATGATATCTGGTGATTTCCTCTTAAAACAGTAACTTAACTTGAAAGCAATGCTAGATGAGCTAGGTATAATAAAAATCACTCCACTGCACTGGTTTCTGTCATATTATATTTTAAAAAGCCGCCATGTGACAAGAAAAATAAAAGGCTATCTAATTGCTCCTGCACTGAAGGCACTTAGTAAAACTGCGACTTCCTGACCTAGTCCAGTAATGTCAAGCACAGCTGATTGGCAACTTTACTGAATGTCCACATTTCCCTTAATGAAAGGAAGATGAGGGCAACTGAACATCATATGAATATATTCTAGTTCAGCAGCTCTATGCAAAGTTGAAAACTTCAGGAAGGAGAGGCTCATACTTTGACCTCAGACTGCAGGTCAGAAATTTTTACCCACCTTTAAAGAGTCTATGAAACAAAGGAAACATCTGACACAAAGTCCTAGGTAAACAACAAAACTTTAACACTTCAGCCTTAAAAGAGTATTTTTCAACACTTATTTTACTCTTAAATGTAAATAACAATCACATAAAATTCCATCTCTTTTTTTCTCTGTATGAGGTTTAAGCTAACAGACTTCCATCTGCTGGGAGCCTGAATAGAGTGTTATTTATTTCAAGTAGTTTGGAGGATGAGAGGCTGCTGAACTGAGGCCTCTGCCACAGCAAAAGGTGATGTTGGTGTTGTGACAAGTAATACAGTAGCAGCAATTTAATGGAGCATTTCCTTCTGTACATTAGTTAAAAATTAATTTAGAACCTGGGAGCCTGATTCTAATTTCAAGGAAATCAATGTTTAAACACCCACTGAATTGTACAAGTGAGAGATAAACTTCCAAATTATTGACTGCTGCTGCTTATGTCATCTGTTTGCAGTTCAGGTGTCTGGTTTCTTAAGGGATTTTAGCAAGATTCAAAGCCTTTCCTTATCTCAAACACTGAGCAATCTCAGACAGACTCAGACATAATCTGTACCACAGAAAGACCAGTCTGACAAGCCAATGCAATGCATCACTCCCATGACATTTTGAATTTTAGAGCACACGGAATTACACTAAATAGCTGACGCTTCACCTTTGCTCTCCCAGCTGTTCAGAGCAAGCAGATCCAGTTCCAACTGTACTAGATAATCACTTCCGTAGCTTCTCCATAGTATTAACAGAAGGAATCTTACCTAGACACATAGCCAAGGCTCCGACTTCTCCGTCCTCTCTCGGTTTGCTGGTCTTTCAGGACCTCTGTATTTCAGTAGCATGATCACAGACATGATTGCTTAAGGCTAGGAAAAATCAAGATTTTGTAGGAAGAGAAAATATTTATCATTGAAATGAATAATAGTCCAGGTTTCTGAGACAGAAAGGAAAAGGTTTCTTTTTAAAGAAAAAAAAAAAAAAGCCCCAGTTTCTGTGTAACATTTGTCTGCTTTTTCCAACTGCAGCTGGTTTAGCTTCAGATAGCTTAACAAAATTGCTTCTCCTTAGGGGTGGATGGTCACACCTATGTAACATCCAGATTTTTCAAAACAAAAGTAGCAATATTAGCATAAATATGAACAATTGCAGCTAGGACTTTCTAGATACAATGTGAAATCAAATTTGCAGAATTAAAGCACTATCTTTAGAGGCAATAAAGTCAATTTTATTTCTTACATTCTGAAGATTTTTGCTTTAATTTTTTTTCTTATTTATTTCCTTTTGGTGTGATAGGATTAGATGTGCCCCTGTTTAATCGATCAGGGTAGTTCTGTATCAATCACCAGAAAAGACAGGCCTATGCTTACTAAGACTTTGAAGGAGATTAGATAATTAACTGCAAAGAGTGAGCAGATGAGATAATAAGGAGATAATAAGGAGAATAACAAAATAATCCCAAAATAAAATGTCACAAAAACAATAGGAAGGGATTCTCTAATTTTTTTCAATGGAGTTGGTCCAAATCTCATAATAAAATTTTAAACACAGTCCAGTATAAAATAAGCCTAACTTTTGTATTATCTTATTCTGCCTGTTTTACTACTTTAGCTGCTATATTTTTTTTGTGTAATTATATGCTTAAGTATCCTCACCAGCAATATGTTCTTACCTGTAATGATTGCAAATAGATATGAATAGATGTGGGAGGAAAATGAGATTTTCTGTTTTGTAAATAGGTAGTCTGCTTTTTAACTGTTTTTTTTAACCTTAATTCACCGAAACCTGGCAAACATTTTTCTGACAATCGAAATATTTAGTTTTGTTAAATTTTGGATGTTTTTTCAGGTTTTTTGAACTCCAGAAGAAAGGTAATGTTTTGTGGTAGAACAAAACGTACATGTAGTTTTTTGCTTTCAGGATTGATCAAGGGAAATGGAAAAAGAGTGGTTTCTCTACTGAACAGTATAAAAACACAGCAAAATTCATTAAAGATCTACTTTCCTAGTACAACCTAACAGCTTCTCTGATCTGAAATTCATGTTTTTTCCTGAATAGCAGGTTTTAAGTTATATTTATTAGCCTTTCAATTATTATTCTTCTTTGAATATGCTAGATGAGTTTTAAAATTTATTTAATTTTTTGGCATTGGTGAATACTTTAGCAACAAGTTACACAGATTAATACCTTTTTTATGTAGGAAAAAACCATAACATATTTTTGGTTTAAGCCTACTATATGAAAACATCATTTGATTTCCATTGTTTCCAGTATTTAGAGAAGCAGTGAATAGTCATTGCATATAAACATGTCTTCCCCAGGCAAATAATGCTGCTTCAGATCTTTGTAATTCCCCCCTTGTTTGTGTTTTCTGTCTTGTATAATCTTCATATATTTGTATGTACTTAATATAAAAACAATTTGTTTCCTTAATCAGCCTTCTCTCCTTTCAATTCACTTTGCCTTTTTTTCTATATCCCATTTTAGCTTAAAATGATCAGAAATTAATTAAATGTTGAATCTATGGGATCTTAAACAACATGCTAATATGGTAATATAATTATATTTTCCTTTCCATGTTCAGTCCCTTTCCTAATACTTCCTAGCACTCAAATGATTTACATTTTTTGGGTTTTTTTAATATCTGAACTTAATAAGATTAAATATATAGTTATATATAAATATAAGATTAATAAGATTAAATATAAATATAAAGGAGACTTATAAACAATCTCCTTTGCTTTCTAGGAAAGAGATGAGGGAAAAAAGATAAAAATAAAATATTTTAAAATATTTAACTCTACAAGTTCTCAAAGTAAAAAAAAAAACAGTTTTGTCAAATTAGAATCTTGCTATAAACTGAGTAATCTAAATAAATGCAAACAATAAACAAGTACTATATTTAGTTAATTTATTTAAAATAGTTGAAAAACACTGTCTAAAATGCTGTGTGTAGAATCCCTTCCTCACACTGGCATTTTCAGGCTGACTTTTCCTATCAATATTGTATTTGGATATATTTTTTCAGTTCTCATAGGAAGTTACTGTAAACATTAAACAAGAAAAAAAGCCTTTTGTGTACTCCAATCTCTCATTTTGGAGACTGGAGCTAGCTGAATTAGCTCGTGCCAGCATTCCCATGTCTTTGCTGGGAACAAACTCTCACACTCCCTGGCTCTCTGGAGTGCCTACCTGGCTTCTGTTCTGCCTTTCCCCACCATGGAATTTGCACCACCAGCCGAGCACAGGGGAGCATCACCTAGGAAGGATATCAAAGGTGCTCACATCACCCCCACACACAGCCCAACCCTGCCTTCCTGGCCATTTGCCTCTCCACACCCAAAAGCAAGAAGAAAACATTGACTCTCTTGACTAATCACAAATGTGACTCCTCTTTTTGAAATAACCGATGGTTTTAAAAGGATTTTTTTTCCTTCAAAGTCTCACTCTGAACACTCTGACTTTGTGAATCCTATTTGCATGAGTGATATTTAAAAAGAACTGCAAATTGCCTTTCCATTCTTATTTGGACCACATATTTAGATGAAAATAATAATAAGATTTTTCTAAAAAATAGAGAGAAATTAGTTAGGTGACACTCAAGAGTTTTACCAAGTCTTCAGTGATCTGTAGAATGTTAAATATTTGTATTCCAAAGTAAATTCCACAGCACATTCATCACCAGTGCTCAGCTCTATGAGATAAAATTTAGCTGTGGGAGCACAAGGCAGAAGTCAGGGCTCTGACATGACATTGAAAAATACAGGTGCTGAATCTCCTATTGACCTAGAAAATGTCGCTTTAAGTCCTTCACCTACCAGATTTAAATAGACAGCAATTACTGTTACCTCTATCAAAAGGAGCTTGTGGAAATCATGTTTTACCTGGCTAATATGAGGGTGTGCAAAGGAAATGGATTTGTACTATTGTTTTTTCCCAGCCTCGGGATGTTTACTCATGTATGGTGATATGACAGGGAGAACAAATTTGGTAAATGCTCATCTGCAATAGTTATTATGATTATTATCTCTGCAGCAAGTAAAGAGCACATTTTAATGCAAAGTGAAATGGGACTGACTGGATTTTCGTTTTAACCTAGTAGCACAAACTGAAATTGCTGGTAGAGGTGCTGACTTTGGGCTTGACAGCTGCTTCCCTGTTCCTTCCACCGTATCACAGCCAGCATGCACAGACCCTTTTCCAGTGAAAGGGCCAGATACAGCTACTTTGCTATCATCCCCTTGGAGAGGGTCTCTGCTCCTGCTGGCCACCTAAAGGAAGGACAGATCTGTACACACACACACACACACACACACACACACACACACACACACACACACACACACACACACAGCTGCTGAAGACAGAGTATGTTTGAGTTCTGGGGAGACTGAAATAGATATTTCCCTTGCGCTGTAAGGGTTACCCAGTAAAGGTAAAAGATGTTTTACCTCCATGATCTTTCTGAGAGGAAAATTTCTAAAATCAGTGAATCGAGGTCTTAATGGAACAAACTGGCTTTAGTTTGTGTTTATCCTAAAGCCTTAGCATGCTGTTGCAGCAGCATAAAAGACTATGAAATTCAAATAGGTTATATTTACAGCCACTGTAAGGCCTCTTTACAGTGTGCAAGTGATAGAAACGAAGCAGGTATGCCTGCAAAGTACTTTGAAGGGAGCCTTCTTTTATAAACTGGAAAGCATCATAATCTTTCAACTCACTGTCTCAAGAAGGTTTTTTTTCAGCCTTTTCTCCTTTTGTTGTGAGGAAAGATTTGGCTGCAATCACTTTACACTTATGGCTGACAAGAATATATGGCACTGCCATCCATGACAGTATCCTTACTAACCTGATGAGCATGATGGGGAGGCTCGCTCTCACCAGATCTTTCACCACCCCAAGGGCTGTCAAGCCTGTTGTCACTCACATGTTTTGGAGTGTAGCAGATCCAGCATGGGGGTTGTGTATGTGGGAAGCTGAAAAGTTACAAGAAAAGGGCATAAATTAGGAAAAGTATATGGAGGTATTTCTTAATGGTAGCATACAATAAACTATAAACAATGATCCACAGTGTGCTAAAACTCTCTGGTAAAGGAATTGCAAATGCTGTTGTAATGAACACTTATGTTTCAAGCATATCTTTAACTTCCTTAGGCCAGATTTTAAATTCTTTATTCCTTCATTAGTGCAGGTCTTGAAACTGAAATGATTTTTTTTTTCTTTACTCCAGATAAAGAATTGCAAATTTGGCCTTTTGTGTCTGTATGATTCATTCCAGCCATGTCAAACTGAAATCTTTAATGTTTGGGTTTGATAACCTATTGTATACCATCAATTTTTCAAACGTGTTATTAAATTAAAGGCTAGCTGATTACAAAAGATTTTTCTCTTTGATTTACTTAAAGTGACACAGAAACCAAACACACATACTCTGTTGTGTGCAATTCATCTATATGACAATTTTATCTCAAAAAAAGGAACAGAAAAGGGATAAATAGGTCAGACACTCTGAGCTCTACTTTCCCATCAAAAGTTAAACCAAAGTGTTGCATATGGAATGAAGAAGTGCTCATGCAAATCTCTGGCATGACAGACCTTAATCTCTTCTCACCAGAATCACTACAAATTAGAGGGCAGCTCAGGGAAGCCAGTACGCCAGTATCAAAGACTACAGAAGAAAGCCACTCCCAGAGTCCTAGTTATGTAAAAAGCAGGGTGCTATTTAGATGCCTCACCCTTAGAGGAAATCTGATATGTATAAATTAACTTTCTTAAGAGAAAAGAACCTTGATAACTCTGTCAAGGAGGGCTGTAGATCGAGATGTTGGAAATTGGAAGCAAGGGTGGCTGAAACACCACAGTACAGTGGTTCACACTTCATGTTTAACCAAACCTAGTTTAAGTTTCTTAAACAAGGATATGTAGCATCCAGATATGCCCACAAATTGTTAGAAAGGCTACACAAGAAACCTATAAAGAGGAAGCTGAAGTCTCTTAATTTACCAAGTCACTAAGGTACTAAGACTCTACTTACAGCCACAATATTCAATCTAAAAATCAGTCATGAATTCTCAATCATTACCACTGGAACTTGTTGTTGTTTCATGGGCCCAAAGTACCAAAACATTGAGTGTTCTCTACCAGTGGCACACCTATTAAACACTTTGCAGGAATTCTGCTCCCCCAGTCTTCATATAAAAGATCCTGATGCATATTTTACTCAAGCCTTGCAAGAGAAATCAAGGAAAAAATAGCAAAATAAAAATAAATTAGATATGCAAACCTAGATTTTCTAAAATTATGTAAAGATTATATACAGTAAGATAATTTTCCTTCAGAAGATATGAAAGCATGATCTTGACCTTGCTGCTGTTAAAGTCCATGGTCCACTGGACTAAAAATATATCATAAAGTGCCTATAACCTTATGTTCTGTACCCCTGGTTTTGTGCTGCAGTTGATTTCAGGCAAGTTAGTCCTTATTTCTGACCATACTGAGGTGGTAAAACCTAACAGCTTTTGTCCAGAATTTCACTAATGAGATATTCCAAGGGAGAGAAATTGAAAGGAAATTAAAGAGAACACGGATTTGAGATAACTACATACAACCAGCTGTCCAGTGAAGCAAAAGCCCTGAGGTATAAATTGGTTAAAATTTCTTGGCTTGGAGGAGAAAGGATATTTGCAGTATGAGATCACACAACCCTCTCTCTGAACAACAGGTATCTTCCTAGGAAATCTGACTATGCAAAGATAGAACAGCAGCGATAAAGCAGGTAATTTTCAGAAAACATACCTTTTAATAACTATAAAATCTTTACTGTAATTTTTGTGAGCCATAACTCACCACTTTTTTTCAATCCCAGTTACAAAATTATAGTGTTACTAGTTACTAAATGTTGAGTTAATGTTGAATACATGCTATCACAGTTTATGAAGGTGATTCCTAGAAGACTCTCACTGGGAGATAAGAGTAACCAGAGCTATTTAATAGGGAAATGAATCAAACAGGTGAAATCATTTATATAAATATGTTTTATATAATTGTCTCACTCTGCTGAGGTGCTTGATAAGTTGATATTTTCTGCCTGTCTCTCTTTAGCTATGCCACTGTGCCAAAAGCAGCAACATTAGTGTCTAACAGTTATATCCTCAAAGGTACTAAGGCAATTTTCTTCTCTTTTGCACTTCAGAATATAGTCAGAGATATGTAGAGAGGCAGAGTGGCTGATTCCTAAGCTTTGTTTAAAAGTAGTATTCAGATCCTATTTTTTTACTCATGGGCACAAAATAGAAAATTTTCTCTTGAGAAAAGATAGTGCAAAAATGGTTCTTTGGATATTACTGATAGCTTAGGAGTTCAGCAATGCTAGGAAGAACATTATCTCTATGGGATCAGAAGTTCAGAGCAAAGTTCAGGAGATAGTTTTTGCTGGACAAAAATTTGGAGCTTATTTCATTCTTTTAGTACTTACTCACTGTCACAAGAACGTGACATGAGAGCAAAGGCATTGTACAGAATAGTGACTAGAATCCCTATTTCCATCTATCTATGGTGTCCCTTACAACTGACACCCTTTTAAATTATCCTTAGACCCAGAAACTGATGCTGCTGTGCCCATAATTAACATGTGTAGAGATGCTAAGCATTGCTCAAAGACACAACACCAAAATAAAACATTCATAGCCACAGTTTGTTTAGGAAGAATACAAAGATACTGTACTAAGAAGACAGAAATAAAAATATGAGAAATACACTGGGCACAGAGATTGTGGACCTTTCAGGAGTTTTACAAATGTGTTAGGTCTTTACGAGTTCTCTCTGGAAAAATTCTAATGAACAAATTTATAAATGTATTTCTAATTTCTTCCTGGAACTCATGAATTATTTCTCCATTTTTCACAGATGCAAACACTGGTGAAATGGCTAATGTAGCTTGGTCTATAAAACACAGCTGGAAAAATCATTGCTGCAACAATGTAATATCTCCTTAATTTTTCTTTCCTCCTTCTCCAAGTTAATTCTCATTAACTTCACCCAAAGAGAGAGAGTTTCAGTGCTCCTGAAACTGCTGTGGCTGTTCCTGTCACAGCATATGCCTTGTGCTAGCTGTAGTCTGCTTGTGTCCTTGGTAAGAAAATTTTACACTTATCCTGTCATCTTTCTGTGGCAGCTGAAAACATACCAAGAGGCAAAAATCAGAGTTCAAATCCAAGTCAAGCCAAACTCTGAACTAATGATTATCCAAAGTGGATTAGGACCTCCTTATATTCTGTTCTTTCCTCTCCTTAATCTGGCTGACCAGAGTACACCCTGAACACAGTGACAGCATACCGAGTGCATGGCTTCCACGAATGCTGTCAGGGTGGGATGCCAGGCTACGCCAACAGCCAGGCTGTACTCTGTGGTTTCTGAGGTTCTCAACCACAGCTTGAAATCTGATTTACCTGACTAGCCCACCAATTGTCTTTATGTGGCATTCTGAGGATTAGAATGTGAGTTTTAATGGTGAAATGTAATGTATTTTATTTTATGTTTTGCAGATTGGTGTCACATACTCTTTTCATTTACTAATGCACTGATTCTTAAGCATGCAAGTTACTAGATTCATTTGAGGAAATTATTCTTAAGGCTATATTTTTTTTCCTGTGGCAACAGAGAGGTGCAAACTTCAGTCTTAAGCACCATAACCTGGATCAAATAAAACCAAAGTATGGTCTTAGAATCATGCCACAGTTTGAGATAGAAAGAACATCCAGAGTCCACCAGTCTAGTCTTGCTGTGAAATCAGTGTTCCTGTAGGAAGTCAGTTACTGACATAAGGGGGGATTTCTCTGTAGTTCTATACATGTGAGATCTTTTGTTGAAAGTGCTTTGATCAAACTTGATTGTTCCTTTTCATTTTGTTTAGTAAAACAAAAGAGATGGAGCTCTACAAACAATGAAAAATTGTTCTTCTCTGGGCCTAAGTGAAAAATACTCCATGGAGTTTTTAATGGGATTAGCTAATGCACCTAGAAAATCGATCTTTCCTGAGAACCATATCATATCTTTCAAGCACGTATTACAGGCACAAGGAAAAGGGAGCTGGAGAAAATAATGTTCTTCTTAGTAGTGTATGGTTTCCTTTGTTGCTTGAGATATCAGATAAAAGAAGAAAAGTTTAGCAAGATCATAAGTGGAATGGGCCCAAACCCAAAACACAGCCGTCACTGTCTTAGACACAGAAAGAGATGGAGAGTAGGAAACTCAGAATATGACAGACACATGTACTATTTAATTTCCTTTGAAACACAGACTTTTTCTGCCTTTCATTAAAGACCTCAATGAGTATTTCTACTCTGAGCAATGTTCATGAGCCCTCCCTTTACGTGGGACAATTGATAACTTTCAATCTATTAGACTAGACCTTAGAAAAGCTCCTCTCTTCCTGGCTTGCTGCGACTATGATCTAGGCATTTCCTAAGTAAATACGTTATAATACACTTCTATTCTAATAGTACCAATAATGACCTTTAGAGATGAAGCCAAAAACAGGTGGTGAGGTATAACATTAATAATGCTATAGTGGATTACCTTATCTCATTCTATAGTATGAAATATGAATTTATTTGATGAACAAAATAGCAAAAACTTGACTCAAAGGAGAATTGCCAATGATCAGGGAATATGATGTTTTCAATACAGGTAACATCATAAAATTAGGAATAACTCTGCTGAATATAAAGATTGAGAGAACATAAACTATTCATGAACCAATCAACGAGGTTGTAGTGTGAATTGTTCACTGATTCATATGCCTTTTTTGATTTTGCTCTGCTTTAGATAGCTACTGCTATCTGCTATTTTTAATTCTTGGTTGAGAAAACTGCTCACTCAAATTTCATGTGCTTCCAAAGCCAAATAAAGATACGAATTTCTATGGATTTTAGACATATGTATGGTGTTAAAATTCACAGTGATGCATGTTAGGGAAGGATCCTGTTCTCATTTCACACTTATGACAATCTGGAGCACCTCTTTTTACTTCAGTGAAGATACAGTAGTTCAGTCATAAGAGAATGTGGGTCCTAGATCTCAGTATAGCTTTGTACCTTTGAAGGTGTATTTTTCTTCACCCTAAAAATATGCATCCCCTGAACAAAAACTTTACACACCAGTATGCCTTCTAAAACCAAAGAACAAGAACAAAAGGTTGGGATTATGTCAATGTATAAACCTCAGGCATCAGACTTAATAAAATATTTCAAATCTTAAAAGTGAAGAACTACCTTAGAAAGATGAGATACCTTTGAAAATACTGTAGCAATTAATCTGCTCTTTAAAAACAGTTCTCAAGTAATTCAAAATCACAGTCAATAAGCAACTATGTGCTAACCATCTACAAATAGCTATGTACTCTCTTTATAAAAACAAATCCAAGCTGAAACAAGTAGATGCATTTGGCTAATGTTGCATGCTTTTGCATATCTAGGAACTTCTTAATTATAAGGGTAGTGTTTGAAGAAAATGCCTAATTTACCCATACAAGGGCTATTAAGGCTTCTACAAAGCAGAAAATTAGTTAATGCACTCAAAACCTTGTTATTCTTAAATAACATAGCATTGCTAACAGCTTAAAGGCAGTTATTCAGGTTTACAATTCTTCCCATGCCTGATACCAGTGCACATGAATTTAGTTAAAAACTAAATGAAAATGATTGCTAAAACTGTGGGGAGATGAAAGTGTTCAAATAGCTTTTAATTTTATTTGGT